GTGAAATGAGGACCCAGACTGTGGGGGCAATAAGCTGACTCTGTAAACCGCTTAGAGAGGGCTGAAAGCCCTATGAAGTGGTATATAAGTCTAACCTCTATTGCTATTGCTATTTCCATTTGGGAAATCTCTCCCTCTTCCAGGTCACATCGATGCCCTGACTTCCCAACTCTTCCTGCTGGAGCGGCTGACGGGGAAGACCTTAAGAAGACGATTTGGCACATTTAAGTAAGTAAATGGGTGGCAGAACGATGTTACAAGTAAACGAACAAACTTCCCATAACAAAAGGTTGATTTACAGGGAGTCCCTCGCCATCAGTTCCTCTTTCTCCATTTAAATATTTTCTTCCAGCAAATGCAGTAAAAGTCATGGGCTTTTTAAAAAAAATAAAAATAAAAATCAGTATTTACCCTTTGTCTACAAATACTCAACTCTCTTGTTAGTTTTCGGTGGAATGATCATTTAGATAGAAATTTTATTTGTGAGCTACTAATATTTAGATATGTTCCTCAACATATCACCGTAACTGAGCCTGTACACACGATCTGGTTATTAAGAAGGTCATCACGTGTCCATCCCCAATTTTACAACTTTTTTGCAATGGCCGTTAAGTGAACACACTGGTCATAAACCAAGTGGGAGGAGTGTCAGCTGTCAGTACTTCAAACCTGGGTGGTAAATACATTTTTTTTGGTTCCGTTGTAAACTGGAACTGGTTATAAGGCAAGGACTACCTGCTTTCCTGCTCTCCTGAGCCAATATTAATTAGGGGAGGGGCTTTTATTTTACAGTAGAGATACTCAGATTACATAGTCAGCCACAGAAGCCCCTCCCCAAAGCTTACATTCCTTATTTTAAATAATTTTTACTCAACATTTTCACTTTGCGGAATGACAGCTGACGAAGTCCAGAGATTTCTCAAACTCTCCTTTGAGTCATGAGGTTTAGGAACTTCGTGCCCCTAAAAGTGACTGACAGTTGAGGGTGCCGCACTTCCTGTCAAATGCCAGGCGTCACGGCTTCATCCACACATCCTGCAGCTGCTCGGAATGGATTTAAAATAACTGAAACAGCTGATGGAGTCTGACCTCTCACCGGCTGGTCCTTGGCTGCTCCCAGAGGGAGAGCTTTGCCTTCCGAATCCATACATTCCTCAGATTTCTGCACGCCCGTTTTATCTCTTGAACAAACAGCCGTTGCCACGGTTTGCATAACACATTAATTTCCCCTAATAATTTTGTCGATGCTGTTCTTCCCTCCACAGTCCAACCAATTCGTTGCATATTCTCCAAAACATCTTGAAGAAAGTGGCTGGGTAAGTTCTTGGCTTTCTCCCTTCCGTCTCTTTCTGAATGTTGCCTGGTGTAGCAAGCGATTAAAACTCAGGCCAGACCCAGAACTCCAGGAGCCTCTTAGCGAACACTTGGAATTTGGGAGGAGGAGGAGGAGGAGGAGGAGGAGGAGATCTGGATCTGTTCTGGATCATCATCCAGAGCCAAGGTGGCGCAGTGGTTAAATGCAGCACTGCAGGCTACTGCTAGATCAGCAGGTCAGC